GATTAAGGTGTCAAATTCAGTAGGAAGCATTTTATAAGAGATATTATTAGGACAGTGTGGATTGAGCTGCAGTGCTTGCCTTGACTGTAGGGAAGAGTAAGGTATGAAATCTTCCATTCGGATAGGTTATTATAGGTCAGTTACACTTCAGTGGCAACAATTAGAATAGAAGTAGAAAGTAGACCAAGGAAGAGCAGCACATAATTGTCTAAGACCATCCCAGACAGGTGATTTTTAGTGCAAACCAAATTGAGTCTTACTGAATGAATGTAGTTTATTGAGGATTTACTGCAAAGATACAAATATCAAACATTTGTTAGAAGAGCACGAACAAAGGGAAGGAGAGGAGGATTTTCTAGAAATTTGGTATATGATGTCTTGATGGCTGGATAGAAAACAATTATTTCACATTATCTATCAATCCCAATGTCATGTTAAGTTACAATGATATATAAAATACAAACATGTGATATAACCTTTGTGGTTGGGGCTTATTTTGTGTTTTAGTGTTCCGGGTATTGATTCTGAATAGTCATCAATAGAAATATGTCACTGAACATTAGACTGGTTGCCAGAGATATAAATTGAACCAAACCGATAGTCCAGAGGAATCTGAGTAGTACCATTTGAGAACAGTTCTTGAATCCCTCAATTATCGCCCTATTTAACACTTTGAGGTTTACATCTGTTTTGTAGGCTTTCGTATATATTTATCTCTGAGAAATCCAAAACCAAGTGAAACAAACAGGTGAAATGGTCTTCTACAAATGCATGCATTCAGATATGATTTATCACAGAATTATCACATCACAAAACACATTTCCTCCACAACATACTACAAGGTGTATTACTCAGACCAACATTAATATTAATGTCCTGGTGTTTAACTTTCATTCTAGACATCAATTTCTATATTGCAGACAAAACATCCAAGGCTTACAATGATGTGGAAGCATTGTTGGCAACGTTTGATTCCAGAAATCTGCAGGACAATTATGGAGCCTGCATTGTCAGCATAGAAGTTCAACTTTCAGCAATGCTCTGCTATTCCATTATTTTATTAGGTGGAACGATGGCCAGGACACTGGGAGAAACTCCCTTCTCTTTTCAAATAGGACTTTAACATCCATCTGAACAAGTAGAATAACCCTATATTAAATACAAGGATTATTATTATAACATGCTTGGCTGCTCTTTTGGATCTATGGCTATTGTCAGCTTGAGACAGATATGGGGATCATATAATGTGACCACAATTGACAAGCACAGATGTATTTAGTCCTGAAACACATCTGTGACCACTCAACATGTTTCCATCATATATATCATTTTAGACAATCGCACTATCAATGAATTTATTCTAAAAACAGTTTTTACTTGGGTGGTTTAATTGATTTGATGATTGATGTACCAATAGTAATATTAATGAGGTGCTTAAAGTTGAGGAAAAATCAATGTGTTTAAAGTACTGCAATGGAAGAATGAAATTGCCACATTAATTTGGGGAATCTGAATAACTCTTATTGAAAAATATTGGAATGGGTAGGAAATTAATAGAATTTTGATAGGATGCATTGCACAGAAGAGCAGCCTTGCACAGGCAACTGTAAGCCGCAGCATGTAATACTTGTGTAGAGACACATTCAGTCTCCCCGCAGAGAGGCAGGCTTCCCAGCAATAGCAATGCTGGTGAAATCATCACCAACCTCAGGAGGCTAAGTTCACTCTGTGAAGACCGTCACTAGTCACAGCATAATTAATTGTAGTGGATGAGTAACTTGTTGTAGTGAGTGCCTTACCAGCAGTGTTGGGTGAACCAATTAAAGTTCCACTGCCTGGAAGCCGGAGACCCTTTTGGGAAAATAAACTATCTCATGGGTTCTTCTGGTAAAAGTTGATTGATGGCCAACTGCCATACTGGATACAGCAAATAAACTTCTAAATCTCTTATTTTCTGATTTTGATCGTAATTTCTCTCATGACTTGGGTACCATTTGCAGCTGTTACCAAATGCTTGGATGAGGACCTTTGTAGCAAGTGGGTTTGCTAAAAGCTGAAGATGTTGCTATATGCACTGTAGAGTGTCTGTTTGATCTGAACTTTCCTCAGCACAACGCACAATGGAGTCTGCTCATAGAAGCTCAGCTATGTCCTTTGCTGAACCTGATTCCAGCATGGCTCATGATCTGCTGCACCGACTGCTAACCTGTTTTTACATCCTAATAAACTGCTGCTTTACTGCATAGGTATCTTCATGTGTCTGTAAGCACACAAACTCTTGCCATACACAACATAGCTGGGCCATTTCCAAACTGAATTTAAAATGCCAAAATTCCTCCTGATACAGGATACCACACTAAGAGAATGCCATCTGTTTGATGCTAGAGAATGCTCACAGAGACAGATTTGGATTTATATTTTTAACAAGTTTGTCTTGGCAAAGTAGATCTTCTACACTTGGCACTTAAGGGAGAAGGAGTATGAAAAATAGAAGGCGGTCAAGTCGACAGCAGATAATTGTAAAACAGTGAAAACAGGCAATGGAAAGACGGTAAATACGGCATCAGAAGCTAAACAGTAAATTTGTGGTAAGGTATTGTTCTCTACGGCTTGCCATTTTGCTAGTGTAAAGTATAATTTCCTGACAGTCACATCAATGGGCTACAGAGCAAAGCAATATTAATGCTCAACAATATCACCAAATGTTTTCCTTTTCATTTCTTTACTTATATCCAAGAGGTAAAATCGAACAAATATTAACTATCCAATTGAGGTTCTTCCTGATATTCAGTAGTTGCTTCTTAGCTGATATGGGACATTTATAAAACATTTGTACTTCTAACTATAACATTTAAATACAGAAAATATATTTACAGATGTATTAGATTAATGTACAATCTTCTGATTCAGAGGGGAGAGCACGATCAACTCAGCCACGCTAACACCCAAATTCAATTGCGTTTCTGCATTTAGAACTGAGTAAGGTACCCTTTGTTTTATAATGTCTGTCATGCATCAGTAGGTACAATGGAAAGAGATTGTTCCTGTGCTGGGAATTATAGCAACACAGCAATTAAAATGTTCAGTTGTTCTTTGTTTCAGTTTCCAGGCAAGTAAATTATTAAGCTTATGAATCTGCAGTTTGATTACATTCTTTATGTGATATTGTTGCAGACTCCAACCATATGACAGTAAGCATAGCTTCTTCACTAACCAGCAAGTACCAAATGGCTCCAGCACTCACATGATGATAATTATGTGTTAATTCCTGTCACACCGTGAATTGAGGACTGGCCTCATATGTCTTTGGTTGATGGTGGGCAGCCAGCACAGTATCCCTATGATGTTGACATTAATTATCTGTAAAGTGCTTTGTGAGGTTTTAGTGTTACAGTGGCACTACATCAAATGCAAGCCTTATTATTTGTCAGTCATTGGCCATTTCAGCCATGTCAGTCATTTCAGGGAACAACACATAAAGTTGTGCTATTTTCTGCATGAAAAAAGAATTTCAATTGAAATGCATCATTCCTGCTCTAGAAACACTCTTAAAATAAATAACTTTTAAAATAACAAGAAAGGTAAAGTGTGAAGAAAGTTTTGACCCATATAATCAGCTATAAACAAGGTGAGGAGGATGTAGAGCAGAATTGCTAAATCTTGATAAGGCGCTAAATCAAATGCAAGAATTATTATTACTACTATTATTATAATTGCTAAATCTGTTGGTTTGAGTCTGTCTAGACCCTAGAGGCAGTGGGAGGAGAACAAAGGGAGAGCCATGAACAGCAACTAGATAAGATAGGACTCTTCAGCCTTCCAAAGAGATGTTTCAGAGGAAACTTATAGAGGTGCTAAATTGCATTGAGAAAATAAACCTAGAATATTTTTTTCAGATATGTATGTCAAGGCAACAAGATAAGCCAGCACAGGTTCAGTGAAGTGAAGGGCAATTTTAGGACAGACACTAGGAAATATTATTTTATATTGAGGATAATTCACAGCTGGAATGGATTACCTGGATGAATGATAGAATCTAGGATATTGAACTCAATTAAGAGAGAGCTTGATTCTGTAATGAAGAAACCATAGTGGGAGTATTCTGAAATGATGAGTTCAAATGGGCTGAAGGACATTCTTCATCCAAAAATCCTCTTATCTTTAAGAGAGAAGTGGAGAGTTATTTGGGGAGGAATGATTTACAGGGCTATGGGAAGAGTAGGGGAGTGGGATTAATTTGGAAGCTCTTTTCAAAGAGCTGGCACAGACACGGTAGCCCAAATGGCCTCCATCTGTGCTGTATAATTCTATGATTCTATGATATGATCTTATCCTTCCTTCTAGCTTATTTAGTTATTTCTCAAAGCTCATCCTAACAAGTAAGCTACCTTTCCCTTTGGGAAATTGTAACCTATTCATCAAGTAATTGCTTCTTTTATTTTAATTCCTTGCAATTATTTCTATTAAACTCTATTATCCAATGATCAGCCTGGGTGCAATGCCTATTGATCTCTGTAAGATTGTGGCTACCTGTTCCGATTCCTTTATTCCTCCTAGTTTGATATCAAATCAAATCTGATGACCTTGCACTGAGTCTGTGAATCCAATTCATTTATATATTCAAGGAACAGGAGGAGTCTGAAGTACAGATCCCATTCAATATTTAATCCCATTTTTATCTAACAACTAGTTAAAAACTATCCTTTGTTTGCTTCCCTTCAGGCAGTTACTAATCCACATCTATGTCTTGCTATTTGCATTTATTTATTTATTTATTTATTTACAAAAGGAATGGATGAAAGCAGAAATCGGAGTAATTTGCTTTATTATCCTGCACAGTAAATTATTTTCAGACTTTTCATTGTTTATACTCTGCACATTCAAAGCGGTGGGTGGAATTGGATAATGTCAATGTTTGTAAATGAAACACAACAGTTTTCACATTTTCTTGGCATTTTGATGCCTGACAGCGAATCTAATTTAACAATATTAAAAACAGCTTCTCTAAATGCAATCAACATGTCAGTTCTGTTTCTATGGTTCTAATATGCACTCATCAAAAACTCACACAGTGAAGCTTTATATTGTACTGTACAAAATTTTATTAACAGAGTTAAAATTCGATATCTTTTCTGTTTAAAATACATATGCTCGAGGTTTCCATTTAGAAAATCCACAATAATAACTTGGCAGTATCAGGGTAAAATCAAAGCTTCTTTTTGTAAAATTCTGTCAGTATTCCGTGTGACGTTCCTTAAAGTGTAGTGTTTTTTTTAAAAAGACGATACTTATCATTTATTCATCACAATTTAAGCACACTTGTTTTTTCTTTTGATGGGTTTTAAGATTTGATCAGGTTGTCTAATTTCCTTCCATTCCAATATTGATTGTCCTTAACAGTCTTTGTGCTTTAAAACATTGCATAATATTACCATGTCTCAGTACAAGAACAACGCAAATACACAAAATTGAAAACCTTGAAGCTAGCATGCTGGAATACTGAAGGGACAAAACATTCATGCATAAAATACATTGTAATATTTTTTTTCTCCACTGACTGTAAATAACATGCACTAGTTGCAATGACATTCTCGGTCCCGTAAAGCCATTTCAAATTTTTAAAGCAATTGCTTTTTTTTCTCCTCGGGAGGAATTTTGTAATTTTGCAGAAAAATAACCAGTGCAAAAAATTTGCAATGCAGTTCTTTTGTTCTTTCTCATTAAAAAGTAGAGAAAATTTAAATAATACAAATGCATCAAAGTACTTCATGCTATAAATATTTATAGGTGTTAAAAATTAACTGTTCATGGATATCCTGAGCCATTGGAACAGCTCTTCTTCAAAGAGACTGTGCCACCGAACATTTGCTTCCACTATTTCAATAGCTTGTGTGAATGAGACAGCTATTTCCCCTCCGAGGTTTTTTATAAAGTCCTTCAGCTGTAAAGTTTAAAACATTTCATAAATATTTGGAAATAGTGAAAGTTTGATGTGGTATACAGCCTAGCCTGTGATATGCACGCTTATGCAAGTCAGTCTCATGAATTCTATAGCATATACAGTAGGGAGGGAGTTGGAGGAATGTGAAATAAAAATAATAAATAAAATGAATTAAAAATGAATTTTTGCTGATTCAAAATCACATTTGTCATCTCTGGGATCGAACATTGAGTAAACGTACAATGCTTTCTGTTGACCATTAACTAATTCAAAAAAAAATTTAATAAGTAGAAGAATGGTCTTTATTTCAATTTAACGGTTACTTGATTTTAGAGGATTAAAGCACAGTATGATGTGAAATAATGTGAATCAAATAATAATAATAATAATAATCCTTGCATTTGATATAGCGCTTTTCACGTCGGGAGGACGTCCCAAAGCGCTTCACAGAATATACTGAAAAGTGAATTGACTGTATATTTGTGGGCGAACGCGGCAGCCAATTGCGCACAGCAATGTCCCACAAACAGTCGTAGATTGAAAATGACCAATTTATTATTGTTTTTAGTTTTGAAGGATTATTATTAGGCGTGTGGAGTAAGGAAACTTGCCCAAGGTTTCGCCCTGCCTGGAATGAAATGATAAGAAAAGGAAAATCCTGAAGGGTGCACAAAATCACTTACCTCATTCAGTTCAGCTTCTGTACTCAGGAACTCTGTCACTCCTTTGATAAGTTTAGAGCTCATGAACAAGGCTTCTCCGTATCTGTATAAAAATGAAAGACAAATGCTCACAATCAATCAACTGCTTCTTCTTTCCCTCTAACTTCCGCCTCTCCTCTCTTAAAGATAATTAATCCTGCTGGACACAAGGACTCAATCAATTTGCCCAGGAGTCAACAGGGATAACATTTAGCCAGAATCTGAGGATTCCCGTTTCATTTAAATACTCTGGATGACCAGAAACAGCCTATTACCACTAACAGTAAAGCACGTGATGATTGCCATTTTATCCTCCCCTTAACTGAATCTCAAGCATGTGCTCCAAAGGAATCCCAGGATTCTGAGGTACAAAGCATCAGTGTTACTAGCAAATTGTGGTCGCTGTTAGATTTTTGTAACTTCATCCCGGCAGGTGGGGAAGCTTGTGGAGGGGGATGAGGGCAGAGGAGAAGAGTAAACTCCTAGCTGAAGCAGTTTTGGGAGGCCCTATCACTACCTCAGTTGAGATCAGCAGAACTCATCACAGGGCTTGAATCTCGAAACTTCCAATTCTGCATGGCCCAGTTTTACATTAGGCAGCTCTTCCCAATGAACCGCAAGGGAACTTCTCAAAAACAACAATTTGCATTAACATAGCTCCCGTCAAGCAGGGTACTAAATCAAAGTGCTTGAAAAGGCTTTATTTTTACCAGAAGCACACAAAAACCATTACCCACTTTTTTGTGCCTAAATTATATTTGCTTATTCCAGTGAATGTTGCTACAAAGTGAAGGGATATGCCATACCTTGAATTCAAAATGTCCCAGTTATCCTTGAAAAATTTCCAAGCTAAATGCCGTCCATTTGGATATTTAGCCACAAGAATTATAATATCTATTGTATTCTGTTCAGGAATCCATTGGGTGTTCAGGGACAGGTTAAGCAGCCTTAAAAGATAAAGCAAAGTTCATGAGATCTTAAAATATGTTTTTGTTCTAGGAAGGAAAAAATACGATCATGCATTCTCCAAAGGCCTGACCCACCTGTTTAGCAAAAAGGTGCTTTTACTGCATGTCAAGCCCTCCAGTAATATTTTCTTCTCTGAAACTGCAGTTGAAGATTGGTACTTATTCCAGATGAAATCCCACACATTGTCATCCATCAGTGAGATTCCAGTGCAGTAGACAATGTCCCTAACGTTTGGTGAGATTCTGAAATGTATCAGTATACAATTACCATTTCCAGTGTCGTCCCTTGGTATAACACCTGCAGTGTTGAATTAAGGTTAAACAAACTGTGACTAATACCAGGGCTCCACTGAATTCATACAGTACATTGTGTATTTGCATTATGGACATGATAATACTGTGGACGATAATGATGGAAAACAAATAATAATAATATTTCATTTGATATAGCGTCTTATCATTTTGTTGAGATATCTCAAATCGCTACACAGGATATACTGTAAAATGAATTGACTGTATTTTGTGGATGAAACACGTCTCCCATAAATAATCATTATTTTTTCAAATGATAACATTTTATAATAAAATTTTCAAAGTGATATCTGAAAAATTGGTTGGGACATTTGTTTAGAATGAAATGTTGGCTTTTTTTAAAAAAGTGGCCATCTTTTAAAGCACTCAAATTGCCAGCGACTGACAAACACAGAGCGTTCTTTACAGTTCCACTGAGATGAGCAGAATTTACAACCAATCTTGCAGGTTTCCAAGAGGACAAATGACACTCTGCTTTTGGTATACAAGGTCATGTAAAATGAACACTAACCCTCCAACACAAGGATAATAATAATAATATTCTGTGAAATACTTTCAGACATCTCAAAGACGTGAAAAGGCGCTATATCAAATGCAAGGATTATTATTTATTATCATTAAAAGTAGTCGAGGAGAAAGAAACAATTCCAATCACCAGAGTTCTGGCACACGAGTTGGGTGTAATTGGCTCAGCAAAGATGAAGTGGGTTCCCTGAGGAAAGTAGACTCTTGTGGAGTCCTCCTGTCAGGCAATCGGATGCATATAATACGGTTCCCCAATCCAGCATATGGAAGGGTGTAGTGTGAAGATTGGAGGGTATGTAGACAAGGAGTAGGAGGGGGAAATGACCAAAAGCGTGATCAAAGAGATGGCCTTGGATTCAGAACATTATCTCAGACTAGACTGTGTCTCAAACCAGTTTAAATAATTTCCCAAATTTGAACTGTTTAACACAATCTTGTCCTTGATCAAAAACCAAAGCCATATTGCAGTAACACAGTTTTCTGTAAAACTTACTTTCTTGTAGTAATCTGGAGAAAGTAATTAAAATGTACAAATATTCTATAAAATCTCTACAGAAAAGAATAGGCAGGACATATATTTTATAAACTCATTTTGTTTTAGAAACAAGCAACAATCGTGCCTTTTGGGACATTGATCAAAAATGAACACTTTTAAAATGCATCCCATGGATTCAATTTCTATCACTTGAATCTAGCACTACAGTGCACAGTTGCATTACTAAGTGGATTGACAGCAGGAAAGCTATTGATTGGTAATATATTAAATTATAAATTATGTGAAGCCTCAACTCTCCTGTCTGATTTTGTCAGAATGATTGCTTATTTTGGTTGCTTTCCTGAGAAGTGACATTTGGTTTTACATTTTATCATGTCTGTGAGCCAGTTCTTGAAGCAGAGCTGACTTCCAAATTTCAGAAAGAAGACGTCAATGAAACTGTTTATTTTCCAATGAGACATTTTCAGAGAATAGTACGGCGTGTGTTCAGTAGTCAGCAAGTTTTCCAAACTGATATTTCCTTCCCGTTGGTGATGCCATTACAATACATTCAAGTGTCAGTCAGATTCAGTAAGATTGCATTAAAACACCAGCTTTAATCCGGTAAAGCTGCCTTTCAATGTAAATATAGAGCTCAAGTCAAATAAATCTGTTTCATTCTCAGCTGTTCTCTGCAGCTTTTTGACAGTGTTATTTCTTAAAGTTGTACAATACATATTGAATTCAAAGAAGGTGAATCTCTATATATGCATTTGGCCCACCAAGAACAAGCTCTTCACTGGAGAGTATCTGCACTAAAAATGACACTCATTGTCCATATCCTCAATAAAAGTGAAGCTGTCCATCCTGTCACAAAAAATATCTTGTGTGTTTCACTGCAGTCTTTGGAAGAAGCTACTGAGACTGACAAGTAAATCAAATAATCTGTAAGGGGCATTGACTCGAACTTAGAAGAGGGAGGTTGAGCAGACTATTAACTGCACTATAAGAGAGTGGTAAATATATGGAAAGCATCTGCCTAGAGAGACAGTGGAGCTTGAAGAAGAGGAAGCCAAGTCGATGTTTGATAGACAAAGCAATGAGAGATCCCTGATATAACAGTACAACCCCAGTAAAACCCAATATAATGTGTCCCCTTATAAAGCTGATTGGGGTATAAAGCAGTTGGCCTTTGGACCCGCAACCAGTTTTGGTGCACAGAGCTGCTGGCTTGCCATGTGCTGACCAGTATTCCACACACTACAAATGACCAATTTCGGGTCATCACGTCATCCTTCCTGCAGTTGTATTATGGAATTGAGAGAAATTTTGTAAAATGTGTGGCATTCTAAAGCTTCAATTTGTTTTTCAGTTTTATCTTTCAGACCATATTGAAACATGCTGGCCTAAAGCCATATTTCTTTACTACACACAAATCTGTTACCTGTTCCCCAACATAACCCTAGAAAATGAATGATTCAAAACTGCTTGCCAAAAAGGCTTTATATGTTACTCTACATGGAAATGAGCCCTGCGGTCACATAATAAAGTCACATAATAAACATTCAGACGTCACAAGCAATGTGACAACAAATAACTTGTGAAATTCTTGACGATGTTGACATTTTCTAATCTGTGATACAACACATGAGGAGAAACTGTTGAATTCAGTCTTAACTTTGAAGTTTGAAATAGTTTCTTAAAAGAACTTACAGAAAGCCAGCTTCAAAATTAAGGCTGCATTTAACAATATGCCAAATTCTGAACTCTCTGAAGCACTACAGAAATAGAGTCATAGATCCTACTTCTCCCTGACAGTTGGGGTTTGGTATTGCATCTCATACTGTTAGGCCATTATATCTTTTCATTGATTTTCACTCTAATCTAAAAGTTTAAGAGTTGTACCTACCTGTTATAATCAGTCGACATCCACTCTGAAAGCAAAGATACAGCCTTCTCATGGCAGGGGAGCAAGCCAAATTTACAAGCCAGAATAATAACCTCCCGACGTAGTTCCCTGTTTACAAAATAGCAAACCAGTAAATTCATTGTTTTTCACACGGTACAGTACAAAATTTGTTAATGGCACGCAAAATGTCATTACCATTTATTATCCTAGATATAAATCTAGAGATTTCACAATTTATCTGTGCTTTTTAGAACTACAGAATCATAGAAATGTATAGGAGGCCATTTGGCCCATCGAGTCTGCAATGGCTCTCAGAGCAACGTGTTTATTCAATGTTAAAGCCCTGCCTTATTACCATACCCTTCAAGCCTCTATCTTTCAAATACCTGTCTAAAGGTTCTTTTTACTGACAACATTTATTTTAATCTTGGAGACAGATGATCTTATCAAAACCATTCCCAGACTTTGATGTCACTGTAGACTCAGACCCATTGAGCCATAAGTCCAGTTAAATTCAATGGTAAATATGAGGCAATTCACTTTTTTAACTTCATTCACATGATCAGGAGTAGGTCTTTTAGCTCCTCAAGCCTGTTATGCCACTCTATTAGATCATGGTTGATCTGTACTTCCCTTTATGTAAGCATTATAATGTCCAGATTTGTCTTTATCATCTTGAAAGGAGATGTTTCAGAGGGTAACTTTAGGAATGGGATTCAAAAAATAAACTCAGAACAACTTGCAACTGCTTTGTAAAATGTATGATTAACAAGTTACTGATGACTGGTCATGAAACCCTTTCTGTTTCGTGCTGTTACATACTAAACCACAGACAAATGTCAAATACATTTATAATTTGTTTTTAAAAAGTTGGTAAACAAAGATAATGATGATTTAACTCAGTCTGGTATGCCTCCGGCACAACTGAACTGTTTGAAGTATCTTCTGGCCAACCATGTGCTTTGTATGTCTGGGCGACATTTTGTAAAATGTATTTCTGAAAGGAGAAAACAAGACGAGTAGACTTCAATTCCTGTCAATATGGATTCACAAGTTACAATTAAATGATCTGATTTTTTTAAAGAAAAAAGCTTGATGCTGTGATAAGACAACAATAGGGTTGGTATTGTGGAAGGATGAGATCAAATGGACCTAAGGGTCTGCATCATCCGAACCTCCTTTGTGATATGGTTTGATACCAAAGGTGTGTTAAGTAACACTTAATAATAATAATCCTTGCGTTTGATATAGCGCCTTATCACATCTTCAAGACGTCGCAAACAGAACACACTGCAAAGTGAATTGACTGTATATATTGTGGGTGAAATGGGGCAGCCAATTGCACAAAGCAGTGTCCCACAAACAGTCGTGGATTGAGTTACCAATTTATTATTTTTGTCTGAAGGAATTATTACTCGGAAAAACAAAAACATTGTTTTAACATTGCTTTGTCACGCACAGATATTACGTTTAGACAATCCTGTACAACAATCCTAGGAACCTAAAGCATTGCTGATAAACCCACCTGGCTGCAATCATCCTAATCCTAATCCAATTCTGCTCACAATTTTTTTGAAAAGCAAATCCTTGATTTGATTTAGCGCCTTACTTACGTTGGAATAGAATACAGTTTTACATTTATATATTCAATTATATCCATTTATCATGTCATCAAAACCTGCTAAATCCTGTAAAGTATAGTGACTTTGTATTTGTAGATGTTTCAAGTGTGTAATATTTGACAAATTGTTAAACTCAGTTTTAATTCCAAAATTGTTTTTCTGTAGCTCCTTTTAAAAAATGTGGTTGAAAATTAAGATTGAAATGTATCTAAGACAAAAGTTGCCAAATTCTGCACACTCTGAAATGTTGAGAAAATATTGCGAGTCTAAACCTAGATGGATATTTTTTCCTCTTATGTCTATGATGAGAAGTTACTTCTGTTACTAAGTGTGTGAGTTTGATGCTAACACTTTGTGGATACGCATGTCATGTAGAAAGTGTGAGTTTTATTTAACTTTTTGCTATCATGATTCTGTGCATAAAACAAAAAGAACCCAAACTGAAATAGTGTCACGCAAGAGGATTCTGGCATAAATAAAATGAAAACAAAATCGGCGTTTAGATACCTAATTCAAATGTGGATCATATGTACATTTTGCATTTCATTTTTTGTTTTGATCAAACTCACTGTCTGAAACTGATCATTAAATTGGTAACTTTTCTCAACTGATTTTATCAAACGTTGGTATGTTAAAGGTTGAAAGTCTTACACAAAATATGCTGTAGTCCTTGTTGCGATCCACCAGTTTGCCCAGGTAACGCAGCACATTGCTCGCTGCATGCCATGGGAGAAACTCTTTCTCCTTGGAAAGGTAGCAGATAATCTCCAGAGGAATATGCTGTGGTAAGTATCCAGCTCTGCAAGCAACAGATAATACAATATAGGCTAGTAGAAAAACATCAATAAAAATAAAATAATAATCCTTGCATTCGATATAGCGCCTTATCACGTCTTCGAGACATCTCAAAGCGCTTCACAGAATATACTGTAAAGTGAATTGACTCTAAACTTTGTGGGCGTCAATGCAAAATTAACTTTGTCGAATTATAACTCCGCTTTCAATCCAGAAAATCAGATCCTGTTTTGAAATGGGTCCACGAGAAAAACTGGCTGTTAGTCTCGCTTCCAGGTCATCAGGTTGCCGATAGATTCCTGCCATGTTACAGCATACATGAAGTCAGCCACGACAGCTTTCACAAGTGTTTCCAGTGCTACCCTGGAGAGGAGTCACAACTGAATGTCTGGTTCTTTCAGTATACTGTTAAAACTCACATGAGTCATACAAATCGGGACCATAACATTTAATATGACTTATGCAAAGTCCGAGTTGCAAGCAAACTGTGTAAGTCGTATAAATTCTTGTTCAACCAATAATCTACACTGCGTGTGTGTAATTCAAAGCAGCCGGTAAATGCGCATGCAGTGACAGGTCAAGACTATGTTTCACACGATTTAATGCGTCTTGACTCATCGCCACATGCACACTAACCGCAAGTATTGGAATCTATTGAACATTCTGCGTTTACAACAACAGGTCAGGACTACATTTCCCGCGATTCCACGCAGCCGCCCGGTAAGTGTGCATGAGTTAACTAACCATCATTTCCTCCAATTCAATGTAAATGCTGCAGTAATGGAGGGTAAGGTGATTAATATGAGTCGTGCAAAGAAATTTAAGTGGGTTCGATATGAAACTGAATAGGAATCGGATAAATGTGCAACTTAGGCAATTATACGATTTATAACGATAAGACTTATGCGAGTTTTGCTCGCGTGTACAGGAGGTTTTAACTCATAGACAGCTCTCAACAGTGACATCTCAGGCAAATGGAAAGTCTGACAGTGTGATCATTATCACCAGTGTTAATTATGACATGGAAAGTCACATTTTTCACCCTTATATCTCAATTCTCTCAGATATCTTTAAGATTGCACTCAACCTTTATCTCCACCTAAACCACATCCTGCAAATCCATGTTACCCTCAATGCCCCATGTCCTCCAATCCATTTCTTCAGTAATTCCCTGTTTCAACTGATCTTGAGTTGCAGATGATTTTCACAGGGCAGAATTTTTTACTTCCTCACGGACTTCCTCTTTGAAATAGCGCCAGCTCTCGCAGTGAGATATTTCACTGAGCCATGTAGGAAAGTGTTTTCCTGATCTCACAAGTTATACATGACCTTAAGAGATTGTGAAATCTGTCACCCACAGTGCTGTGCTGAGGATCTTGCTGTGCAAGCAGGAGCAGAAGCTAACAATGATTTGAAATGAGAACAAAATAGCAGCGAGAGACTTGCCAGTGGGGAATTCCTGACTCAGTCACTGTAACAGAGGGCAGTTGGATCTTTGCGCTGAGGGTGAGGGTGGTTGAACTGGACGTGAGGTGTAATTTCCTAAAACATCTTAGATACAATAGTTTACTCTCAGATACAGCGGTCCCAGCCTTGCATACTTCATATCTTCATATGCCTTCCAATGTTTTGCCTCCTCCAGACAAATGAGAGTTTGGAGAACAAGTGATTCAAACAATCTATGAAAATTCCTGCTCACATTAAATAATCTCTCACAGATTAACAGTCTTTTTTCTTGATGTTTCAGGCAGTTGTCAGTTGCTCAGTTCAGTACTGAAAGTTCGCAGTCTAATAAAGTCACGTATGCTCACATACTTTGTGAGATCAGGAACTCACTTTCCTAAATCACTCAGTGAGTATCTCACTGTGGGAGCTGATGATAATGGAAAAAATCTCTATTTCTGTCAGCCTGGCTAGCAGTAGATGTAGACCCCCACAGAGTTATACACTTCAATAATACATGAAGTCATTCCTATTCATAATGGCCAACAGCGAGCCTTGAGGGTAGGAACCAATAATTGTCCCCAAGAAGGGTTTTGCATATTTATAATTAAACCAATAAAGATATAGTAGAAATACATAGGACTTATCATCTCTGGTTAATAAGTTCACCCATATTGAGAGTAAATTGACAGTGTGTCAGTCAACGTGATTAAAGTTTTCTGCAGGGAACAGTTACTGGTTAATGTTTACCAAGTCTACCACTCACTTTTTTCATAAAGGCCCCAATGAATTATATGGCTTCTTCAATAGATTTTTATATTGGGGGATGTAGGGATGGACAACACGTCCTAATGTAAAAATGTTAGTCATTTGAGAATTGTTGGAGATTTTCATTTTTCAACCTGCCAATCACTTGATAAAACTTCTGATGGATTGATGGACTGTAAATGGTGAGTCATTAGTTAACCTTATGAAGTAACTTAGAAAAATGCACAGAAAGAATAATGCTGCCAAACTGGAATCTCAGAATAGTTGTGATTTGCAGGCTATGTGATAGGGCTCCTCAAAGGGACAATGCTATAATATACATATTGTAAAATAATTGACAATATTTTTATTTGGCCTCTTAGTACTCAGAAATCAGCAATATTCAACCTCCTGATTGGGGCAATCTGGGATTGGGTTTTTGTGGAAGATTAAGGACATCTAATCGCCTTAACTACCACATTTAGTAAACCAGGAAATCATAGTATTGCATACATATAATCTTGTGGAGTCCTGCAGCTCAGTGGTTAGAGCAATCGCCTCACTTAGTCGATTGGTGGATCGCTTTTCTGAGGGCAATAATTTCTTCCAAAAAAATATAGTAAATTTGTCACTTGAATCCACGATTGTTGTGGGACACTGTTATGCACAATTGGCTGCCATGTTTTGCCCACAAAATATCCAGTCAATTTAATTTACAGTAAATTCTGTGAAGCGCTTTGAGATGTCTTGAAGACATAATAAGGCATTATATCAAATGCAAGTATTATTATTATTATAATAAGCACATAATTGTATTTGTTTAAATCACTTTACCAATAAATATTGCCATCTGCAGAACATATAACTAGACAAGTACAGTGAATGTTAGACTGGTAGGCACTCTGTCTGTCTATCAGTCTGTCTATCTTTTGGTCTCTTTCTCTCTCGCTCTTCTCTCTCAAGCACTCTTGGACAAAGATTGTATTCCTTGCTCGGGTGGCGGACTGGGTTAATTGTTCTTGAGATTTGATGAAAGAGTTTTATAAGAAATGCAAGATATACCTGGCAAGATTGAAAGCATCATCAATTAGACCTGCTCGATTGCCAACAGAGATTACCTGTCAGGGTCAAGCACACAAAGAAGCCATTTAGCATGGATAAGCATAAAACACATGTTTTCCATTGAAAGCTGAAGAGTATATTCTTTACCTCAGGGTTCGTCATGAGTTGTTCAATTAATAACCTCCAGTTCCTCAAATCGTAGTTAACCCTAAAGTAGCCAGTCTGGTTAAGGTTTCCAAGAAGCCAATTATTTTTATCCAAGGGAATAATCCTGTGATGCTCTAACAATCAAATAGAAAGAAACTTAAAGATTACTTAATCAAAATCGAAATTCAGACATTTCCGTAGAGTATGATGTGACTTATGAGACACTGGCAGTTTGTACAACTTGTGCTTGGCATGGGAGTGGGGTGAGGGGGCCTTCAGCATATTTTGGTTATTTTCTCATTTACAATTTTTATTGAAGTGGAAAAAAGCGGAGACAAATTTACAGCTCTGCCCTCAAATTATTGCATTTAATGCAGAAAATAGTACAATTTAATAATTACTAATGGGCTCATTGTAAGTCCTGTCCCTGATTTATTGGTAGTTAGTAGTAATGATTCAAGCTAGCACTAATAAGAATTATTGATATCCCTGTAGTGTTTAGAGTATCCAAAGTTCAGGAAGCTAAACTAGCTCTTTGACAAAGTCGTAAACCTGGTCAACCTGTATAGGAGTGGCAGTCACTCTAATTTCGACCCACCAATTGAACTGAGTGGTCACAGCCTTCCAGATTGTTTTATTCCAAAACCTAGAGATACCTGTCGACTAAGATGATCAGATACATAAGATAACACTTGCTGTAAGGATTAGAGGTGAAATAATGCTGTCCAAGGAGGGCAGCAAACCAGGGTTCAATAGTGGAGATGTGAGGGTAAATACTTATTCGGGAGCTTTACTTATTTATCTATGGAGATCAGGGAATATTTAAGTAGGACTTCCCTCAGAAGATCAGCTGGGTAGGGTAAAGTGTGTAACAGGGTAAATTGTACATAGTCTATAGAAAGACTGAGTTTAATTCATCAAATGAACTTTACTATTTTGAACTTTATTATTTCATATTTTCTTCACTTATGTGTCAAATCCCAGGAAGAAAATATTCATCCCAACTCTGTTTCCCACCTGTCAGAATTCATATAACTTCAGCAGTCAGCTCTACCACTTTGAAGTCAGTTTATCTCCAGGGATTAATCAAACACTATTGAATTCTTCTCTGCTTTCAAACAAAACTATTAGGATTATGCCATGGAACAACTAAATAGTCTGAAACTGATAAATTCCTAGTAAATCCAATACGGCGACAATTTAACACCAGCAGGGAAAAGTGTGAATGCATTGATCATCCAATATGACAAAACTGGGGAAATGAATTATCTTAAGTAGAACACTGAAGAATATTTGTAACACAAGTCCAAATGGTCCACTTATAATGCATAAATAATGTTTTAGGCAAACATCACTAAAGCCACAAACATGTCATGACAAGCAAAATATCTTCCCTGCTAATAATTCAGGAATATATTGAGTTCTGTATTTTGGTAAGTCAGATATCTGAACATGCATCACCATGTTTAAGAGTTCAACATGTGTATGTCAAGTTCACATGGGCATTTCCCTGTGTCAGCAATGGAATGCACATTCTCTCCCTGAAAGATTGCATCCTGTTTACCTAAACTCAGAGAGTATTAGGTACAGGTGGCAAGAGTTAAAGTTTGGGGACGACAGAGTGTGCATTGTGGACTGCAGGAGTTTAATAATTAAAACCATATAGCTTGCCATTGAGTGGTAGTGAAACAAACAATCTTGTATTTTCACAAGTCAAATCTGTCACTTTGCAGAATGCATTAACACCAACAACAAATTGCATTTATTTAGCATCTTTCACTTGGAAGGGAGTCCCAAGGCGCCGGACAATCGGAGATTTAATAACCAAGATAATTACCTGTTTTGTTATTAATCCATATCATTGTCTCCGATGAAATGTGACTTAAGTTTCCTACAGCAATTGTTAAAGGAATCTCCCACAGGTAGCTAGAAACAAAATCAAACAAGAGAGTTCTCCTATAAATACGAAATGCAAAACAAACAGAAAAATCATTCCAAACATTATTCTGGTAACTGCTGTCCAGAACAATAGAAGCTTAGAAATATATAACACAGAAGAAGATCATTCGGCACATCATGTCTGTGCTGACTCTTTAAGAGCCTATTTTAATCGCTCTTGTGAAAATGATTACATTGAGATTGGCTGTTGAAGGTAGTTAAGAAACAGTGAGATTTCCGCCTGGAGGTGATCAATCCTCATCCACATTTCATCCAAAGGACAGCATCTCTGACAATACAGTACCCACCCCCCCCGGCACTGCACTGGAGTGTCAGCCTAGACTATGATCTTAAAGTTCCAACATGGTGGTTTGAAACCACAATTTTCTGATTCAGAGGCAAAGGTGCTGCCTAGCTGATAAATTTCAGGCTAAGACATGCTATATTGTTAAGTATTGGTGAGTCAGTATGCAATTTGTCCAACCGCTCAAGTAAATTATCAATCACGTGAAATACTGCACATCTATCCAAATAATATAAGCCCTTTGCACAAATACAAGCAGCAACTATTTTATGTAGATCAATGGCAGCTTTTATACTGTGTGCCTTGTGGTCTTTGTAATTCTGTATATAAAACAAAGTGAGCGACATTACCTGCTATTTATAACGTTTGGATTCTTTGATTTCACTGTTAGATCAAAAATGAAGTGTTCTTGGCTGATTGTTAAATTATCAGCACTGCTTTCATTCCTAGCAATAGTGACGACAGGATAACCCATCTGCAATGTCCAGCAGTCCATGACGTCCTTGATGTTTATATTTTTTCCCATTTTCTGCATCGTCTTTACAAAGGCAAAAGTGTCAGTACTTGATATGAAAAGCATTTCAGAAGATTCAGTTGAACATAATCTATCAACAACAAGTCAGTGGTGTTTGTACAGTCAATCTCAGTTTTCCATATATCTAACAACAAAGTACAGAAATTCCCTCACAAAATGTAAACCCTAAATAACTGAAATTGATACATATTGGATCATGAACCACTCAATATATGATTCCATTGTACGTGGATACAATTTTTACTTACTACAGCTTATTCAAATGTTTCAAGGGTGGAACCTTTTCATTTCATCAAAATAACAATTCTACTTACTCAAATGTAACTATAACCAATGTGGTAGACTTCGGTGAATCAAATATGTTTTTTTTTGTTATCTAATGTGTTACCTCCTCTCTTGAAAGTGGTGGTTTATACTCTACTGTACCATAATCTAGGCAACCCTTAGTATCTCAGTACCTCACCCAAAGACCTGTACTGCAATCCAGTGGCTGGATTGATGGCTCATCTGAAAACAACTGGTTTACAATCCTTTCTTGTAAATGCTCGATCAGTTATGTAGAACAAAAGTTGAAACAAGCCCCTAAAAGAGCAGGAATTTAAATTTGCCATTGCATAACATGCATCACCCAAGGCTACACTGAGACGTTAATTCTGAAGTACATTTTTATAAAATACAAAACATTTGCCGTTATATAACATAGTCAGAGTTCATTATTGCAAACTCATGGGGAATGAAAAGATATCTCTTCCTATCAGCAGGAGTTATCTAACTCCAGCCTTATTTGCTCCCTTTCTTCTGTAATAGAGATATAATCTGGCCCAAGACAAAAGTGTGACTACCTTTACTTATATTCTGTTGACTGTATTTGGATGAAAACTGTTCTAGTTTTGATATCTGAGTAAACTATTTACCTAATTTCAGTTCATTATCATTAAAAGAGGAGGAAAGTCAAGAGAGAAATTTTTGTTTAAAATTCCTGCGCCTAGCTATAGAAATGTAGAGGTTTCCCGCAGCAGGCAATCCTGTGGAGTTCTGTAGCATATTGGTTAGTGTGCTTGCCTCGCAGGCAGAAGGACCCAGGTTCAATTCCTGGGTAACACGAAACCTTTGGCAAGTTTCTTTACTGCACATGCCTCTGGTTATCTAGCAGGAAGTAATAACCTGGTTGTTGATTGGTGGATCGCTTTCCTGGGGTGATAATCGCTTCAAAAAAAATTATCAAATAATAATTTGGTCACTCAACTCACAACTGTTTATGGGACACTGCTGTGCACAATTGGCTGCCACATTTTGCCCACAAAATATATAGGCAATTCACTTTACATTATATTCTGTTAAGCGCTTATCATGTCTCAATGACGTGATAAGACATTATATCAAATGCAAGGATTATTATTATTAATATCTGCACTCTTCTATGCTGCTTGGACATTGTATCATCAGCTGGAGGATCCCTCTGTGCATTGTGTTACAGGAAATTTCTCACAGTGAATCCAATTAGTTGAATGGATGTGCTTCACTGACTGAATGGTCTGGAGATAGATCTGGAAAAAGCTGAGTTTAGGCCATTATTTCCTGAATAAGCTCCAAAATGATTGTGCTACACTAGTCAAATAGATGATTATTTGGGGATGACAAGTTTACAGGGCTATAGGGAGAGCGCGGGGAATGGGATTGAATTGGATAGCTCTTTTCAAAGAGTCGGCACAGACACGATGGGCTGAATGGCCTCCTTCTGTGCTGTATAATTCTATGATTCTAAGATTCTAGTCCAAAACGGTAGCGTACAGAGCTTTTCAAGGGTTTATGATAAAATATTTTAGCACTGCTTCTTAAATAAAGAATGCGCTAGGGAACACTGTAGTGTTTGAGCAGAATAAGAGCACAAAATCTCTCTACTGTAACATCTCATTTGTACCACTCCATTTGCAACTTTGAATCACTCCCTCATGACCTGTCCCTTCTAAGTTGTGTAAGATGCAGTGAAACTAAACCCAGTCATCACTTAAGCTTAAATCACAATAACAGCAGTAAGTAAGTCATGTGATTCAACTGCAGGACTCTGACATCAGTTACTCACCACCATGATACTCACCATGAGCAAAACAAATCTCATCAAAAATAGCACAAAAACACTCCCACTGTGTAACTCCAGCAAACTGTATATCTTACGTAGAATGACACAGGTAAGAGTCCATTTTCAGAGAGGTAATGCATGTCAGATTTGAGATGATACTGACATTAAAATGCTCTTATTACTGCCTTTGGCACACTCCAGGTTATGTTTCATACTATGTGTAACATCCCCATGATGATTAAAAACTATTCCTCCGTGTTAACTTAAAGGGGCAGGACACAACTGTATAATACTGGGAAATACATGTTAATTTCATTTAATTTCACGTTGTATCCATAATCCATTGAGATAGCATTGGGGGAAAAAAATAGGTTACCTCTGAAAGCTTATTCCACAAGTCATTTCTTCCTGCATTGCCATACATGTGAGCAATCAAAAAATCCTGCAGTGAGAAAGAAAATAAACTGTACTGACAATATTTTTAGACCCATGCCTGGATACACAGTTCACTTTTCTTTAACCAAAAGATACACTTGGGTGAAGTTTAAAATCTCTGCTTGTGCTACTCGACTTTTCTTTTGAACCCGGATCATTATTTAAAATCAGCGGGAGTGAGGGGTGTGGAAGCAGAGACCTTTCATAACCTCAATGGAACGGAGCACAAGAAATAAAGCAGCATTCTTTCATTAAATTTGATTGAAAGCAGAAAGAAGTGCGCTTCTCTTTACATCGGGGAATTGGCATTAAGTTCTCCAACTCCATGGAAAACGCTTAGCACAAAGCTTTATTGAAGTTGCAAATTCATGCTGAGGTCTGCCAGCTAATATGCTAATGCTGCTTCTGATGTCTGCTTCATGTGACTCTTCCTTTCACTCCCCCACCCCCCATCTGCCCCCATTATCGGTGGGTGAGCTTCGTTTTCAGTCATTCTGCTCCTGCCTCTCTGGGATTTGATTTCAAAGTCCCCTCCCTCCCTCCCCACCTTCAAAACCCATCTTTAGGCTTATCTTTTCAGCCACGCCTTCAGCCACCTTTCCCCTTGGACAGGATCATGGTATTTGCCTTTTTTTATGATCCCAATCATTATTTAATATCAGTGGGAGAGAGGGGAAGCAGAGATCTTGCATATACTCAATGGAACGGAGCACAAGGAATAGAGCACCACAACATTTGTCAGTTGTATGAGAAATCTTCTCGACAAGAAAGGTATTCTAAATGTTAATTGTTATAATATATAATGTTATATCTTCCTGGACTCCACACAGTCACTGAGCTCATCCTTCTATAATGGGCATTCATGAGTAATAGATAATATGAACCCATGCCTGCCTTTTAATTTAAAAATGATTAATTTAAAAATCGCACGAGTGTTTGGCTTAACGTTGAGTTACAATATGTTGAGGTCTATTTTATTCACAATTTAAAACAATCAGCACACAGCAAGAGTTGCTCTCCACTGTTATAATTACACTGCAGGTGAACACAGTTTATTTCTAGAGGTGATTACACTCGACAGATCACAATTCATGCTCGCATGTTTAGTTCAATTTGCTTTCAAGAGATTTATACAAAGTAAAGTCTGATCTCTATAACTACTATGAGTAAGATTTAAATCATTATCAGCTCACAGTTGAAGACTATTTTATTGATTTCAGAATATGTAATGAACACTAAATACACGAAAATAATGATATTGGATAGAAAGTAAATAGTCACTGGCTCATTGACTCAGATTACTAAATTTGAGTGATTAGCGAAGTGAACGTTCAGTGTACATCTCTGTATTACTTGGTGCAGCCAGATTCTTACCCCAGGACAATCCATATTATTCTTTCATGTTATAAAGTGTTTATGGTTACAATCCACCCCTTTTATTTTTACTTTCAATTTTCTGGTGAATAGGTAAATACATTCAGTTAAGATCAGTCCTAGCCAGTGGAATAGAATGCTACTTGCTGTTTTTTAGTTGCTGCACATATATATATGTATATATATTTATTTATATATTATATAAAATGAGCTCTATGTAAAGTTTTTTCAAAAAATTCCTGAATGTTAAATAATAGATAATATTGAAACCTAAATCCTTGTTAAACTTTTCGAAATGGGACAAAGCTGAATTCTGAATACCCTTCAGTTCTAAGTTGGTCATCTTAGCGGTCAAGATCAACAAAATATGCACAGTATTGTAAAGCAATAAAGGAGTTCTACCCACCTGAAGTCCTGTTTGAAACACATTCTGCCCCATAAAGTTAGCCACCATTCGAATCAATGCAGCACCCTAGGAATAAAACATTGTGTAAGTGAGTTACTCTCAACCACAACAACAACTTGCACTTATGTAGCGCCCTCCACTCAGGGTAGCATCCCAGAGCACTTAACTGTAGCGGAGCGTAACTCCGAGCCAATGGGGGGTTTGGTGTCCGTAAGCACAGTTGAAGAGGAAGATTTTCAGGCAGGACTTGAAAAAGCGGAGAGAGGGAGCAAAGTGGAGGGATTGAGGGAGAATGTTCCAGAGTTTCGGGGCGTAGTGGTTGAAAGTGCGACCTCCGATGGTGGTGGGGGGGAGGGTGTGAGGGAAGAGCAGGAGGCTGGTGCCAGTCGAGCGGAGGTGCCGGGTGCTGGATTGGGAAGTGTGGAGGTCAGAGAGGTAGGGCGGTGCCAGGGTGACATTAAAATGAGCTACCTATAATCTCTAAAAGACAGACAATTGTATTTTTTATTGAAAATAATAAACTTCGCCTTCACTTTTTAATGGAACGCAATTACCATTCAATTATATAACAAAGTGATGTCTTACTTTCATTTTGAACATACAAGTTCTGCATTGATTTCTGCTGTTCCTCTTTCACAACTGCACATTGAAGTTCGATTAGTAGTCTGAATTATAAAAACGACTAGGTTTTCAAGATTGAGATAGATATATTTCTTATTACAAAAGGGATTAAGGGACATGGGGATAAGGCAGGGTTAAGTTATTAGCTAGAGTTAGATTAGAAGATCAGCCATGATTGAATGGCAGGGCAGGCTCGAAGGGACAAATGGCCTATTCCTGCTCCTACATGTTATGTTATGATGTAGAATTCAGACAACTTCAGGTTTGATGCTTTCCCTAGTGTTACTCATGCCCTTTCAAATTTTGAGCAAAATTGAAACATCTCAGTTGGGCTCTAAGGATCATAATTGAAGTCCTCCATCAATGTGGATTCATCCAAGATCCCAATGCCCAATGTGTGAGTGAAACAATATTGATTTCACCTTCCAGTTTAATTTGGCTTAACTGATCAAACAGCCCGAGGAAAGATTCATCAACTTGAGTCATCAAAAGAACATCTCCAGCACTGCAATGAAAACTCCATATGTACATTTTTATGTACCAACTTTTCATTTGTCTGTTAGAAAGGTCAATGCAAGTTCTATACAGAATGCTAATCCGCAACTTTATGAATTGTCCTTTGGCAATCAAATAACCACCATCACCCATGGTACCTTTTTGTATGCGATCCAGTCAAAAACTCTATCAATATCTGCTGCTCGAAGCACCTCCTGGGATATCGGATGCGAGCTAGCCAGTCCATCAAGTAGCATCACTTTATGAAGGTCATCTGTCAAGAATCGCTGTTTCTCCTGAAATATTCATACAAATGCTAGGTCACATCTGTTGGGATCCACAGTCAATTGAACAAGCCATACCAGCATGTGAACACACTAAGCTGCAATGTCAAAATTATTTAAATAACTGGGGGAAAAAAACCTCTAAAGGCTAACAATAAGTTCCATCAGTGGATCACAAAAATGAAGCACTCAAAGCTCACTGCCAAGCAAAAAACAAATCTGATTTGCGTTGCTACAATTTACAGAAAAAGTGGAGGATTCATGTTAAGGGCAGTAAGATCATTCTGGATTTTAAGATCCTGGAGATAATGTTCCGGCTCACTGTAGAGATACAGAAAGATGTATCTTCATTTCAAAGGAAGGAAAATAGCACGAAAAGTCGCAAAAGCAACAACATTGCTCCGAGAATGACTATATGTCTATTTCCTTTAAGGGTCAGAAAATGTTTATATCTAACAAAGTGGAAGCAGGAGCAGGTGGATATAACTCACTGGATCCTTAACCAAACTGAACAAACTGGCCTGTGAAGACACGCTGAAAATAATAAGAATTCATAAAGCACCAGGGTGGGAAACACGAGGGATGCTTAAAATCTTCCAAATATGTGGACATGAAAGATTAGTACAGTCTTACTGGTGTCCGTTAAGAATGCTGTAAGTGGCCAACAGGGAGTGTTTGAAATTAGAAAACTAAATTAAGAATTCAACTTTCATTTGGAGAATGGTATTTTCTTAACAAGTTTCAAATGCGTAATTATTAAATTTCTTGTAGCCATTTTGTTTTAAAATTGAAGATCACACAGAATTGTGGAAAATTCTTAAATTCAGCCTTAATTTAGAAGCCGGTGCTTAATTTAGTGTGGTTCTTTTCAAGGATTCTATAATTCCAAACTAAGACTGAATTTAACATTTTTTTTCCAAATTCTGTGCAATTTTACATTCAAAAACAACAACAAATAAGGTGAAATTTTAGAAATTCTGAAATTCTGTGTTTTAGATATTAGATAATAACACATTTCCTCTTAAGCAATCTGTTTTTAAAGACATTTAAAAAAGACATTGTATTGTTGAAATGCTTCAATGCAGCCTAGAAGTAACAACAAGGGGCAGAAAACTCTAGTGGGTGTAGTTTATAGACCCCCGAACAGCAGTCACAGTATCTCTCAAGGTATAAATCAGGAAATTAGCAGAGCATGTAGTAAAGGAAAAACATTAATTGTGGGTGATTTTAATCTGCACGTAGATTGGGACAACCAAATTGGGAAAAGTATGATAGAGGAAGAGTTTATAGAATGTATCGGGGATAATTATCTAGATCAGTATGCCGAGGAGCCAACCAGGGAACAGGCCATATTAGACCTTGTTTTGTGCAATGAAGCAGGGCTGATCAGCAAACTGGAAATTAAGGCTCCTCTCGGGCAAAGTGATCATAATATGATGGAATTTAGCATTAAGTTAGAGAGAGAAGTAGTTAAGTCTGAAGCAAAGGTTTTAAATTTAAGAAGAGCCAATTTTGCTGGTATGAGAGAGGATTTAGCCAAAATAAACTGGGAAATTAGACTTAAGGATTTGACAGTAGACCAGCAATGGCAGACGTTTAAGGAGATAGTGCAAAATTCCCAGCGAGCACGTATTCCTTTGAGGAATAAGAATGCCACGGGAAAGGTGGCCCAACCGTGGCTAACTAGAGCAGTTAGGGACAGTATAAAGTTAAAGGAAGAAGCCTATAAAACAGCTAAGATGAGTAGTAAACCCGAGGATTGGGAGAACTTTAGGGATCAACAAAGGAGAACCAAAAAAGTGATTAAGAGGGAGAAAATGGAATATGAGGGCAAACTAGCGAGGAACATAAAGACAGACTGCAAGAGGTTTTATAAATATATAAAGAGGAAGAGGCTGTCAAGGGTAAATGTGGGTCCGCTACAGGCAGAGACGGGGGAATTATAGTAGGGGACAAAGACATGGCAGAGTCATTAAACAAGTACTTTGCTACTGTCTTCACCTTAGAAGACACTGAAAACCTACCAAGAATAGAGGGGAACCAAGAAGAAAATGTTAGCGAGCAACTTGGAGGAATTAATATTAGTAAAGAAATGGTTTTAGGTAAATTATCAGGTCTTAAAACTGATAAATCTCCTGGACCTGATGGCCTACATCCTAGGGTTTTAAAAGAGGTGGCTACTGAGATAGTGGATGGCTTGTCTTTGATCTTCCAAAATTCTCTGGATTCTGGAACGGTTCCCATTGATTGGAAGATTGCAAACGTGACACCACTATTTAAGAAGGGTGGGAGAGAAAAGATGGGGAACTATAGACCAGTTAGTCTGACTTCAGTGGTAGGGAAAATTCTTGAGTCCTTAATTAAGGATGTCATTATGGGATTCCTGGAAGACCATAACAAGATTAGGCAGAGTCAACATGGCTTTACAAAAGGGAAGTCATGCTTAACTAATCTTTTAGAGTTTTTTGAAGATGTATCTAGCAGGTTAGAGAGGGGGGAACCAGTAGATGTAGTATATTTAGATTTTAAAAAGGCATTTCACAAAGTGCCACACAAAAGACTATTGCACAAGGTTAAGGCCCACGGGATTAATGGGAACATATTAGCATGGATTGAAGAGTGGCTAACGGGTAGAAAACAGAGAGTAGGGAAAAACGGGTCATTCTCGAATGGATGTGACTAGTGGAGTGCCACAAGGATCAGTGCTTGGGCCTCAGCTATTTACAATTTACATCAATGATCTAGACGAGGACATTGAATGTAACGTATCTAAATTTGCGGATGACACTAAACTAGGTGGGAGAGTAAGCTCTGAGGATGATGCAAAAAGATTGCAACGGGATATAGATAGGCTAGGGGAGTGGGCGAGTAGGTGGCAGATGGAATTTAATGTGGGGAAGTGTGAAGTTATTCACCTAGGTAGAAAAAATAGAAAAACAGATTATTTTCTAGAGGGGGAGAGATTAGATAGTGTTAGTGTGCAGAGGGATTTGGGTGTCCTTGTACACCAGTCTCAAAAAGTTAGTTTGCAGGTGCAGCAAGCAACTAAGAAGGCGAACGGCATGTTAGCGTTCATTGCAAAAGGTTTAGAGTACAAGAGTAGGGAAGTCTTGCTGCAACTGTATAGGGCCTTGGTGAGACCACACCTAGAGTATTGTGTGCAGTTTTGGTCTCCTTATTTAAAAAAGGACATACTTGCCCTAGAGGGGGTGCAGCGTAGATTCACTAGATTAGTTCCTGGGATGAGGGGACTGACCTATGAGGATAGGCTGAATAAACTAGGGCTGTATTTTTTGGAGTACAGAAGAATTAGGGAAGATCTTATTGAAACATATACGATTCTTAAAGGGCTGAATAAAGTAGACACGGAGGGTCTGTCTCCCCTGGTGGGAGAATCTATAACCAGGGGTCACAGTCTTAAAATTAAGGGTCAGCCTTTTAGAACAGAGTTGAGGAAACATTCCTTCACTCAGAGGGTAGTGAATTTATGGAATTCACTACCCCAGAAGGCTGTAGATGCTCAGTCCTTGAACATCTTCAAGGCTGAGACTGATAGATTTTTAAAAAACAGAGGGATTAGGGGATATGGGGATAGGGCAGGTAATTAGAATTAGGTCTGAAGATCAGCCATGATCTTATCGAATGGCGGGGCAGGCTCGAGGGGCCGAATGGCCTACTCCTGCTCCTAATTCTTATGTTCTTAAGTGTGGCCCTTATAAAAAGACTAGTGATGTGGAATAATTCCTTTGAGAATCAAAGGTTTAATCACGAAGCCTTTCCAACATCACACTGTTGAAAAGAAATGCAGAAATGGGAAGTCTGCCCAAAAGATTTCACACTGAATGGTTCAAATAATTATAGTGCATTTAAACAGCAACACTTGCACACATACCAGGTTACACCTTGCTGCCCGGTTATAAATAGATTGTTTCTGAGCCTGATAGAAATGTAACTGGCCAGTGAGCCATGTAGTAAATTGCAGGCAATTGGCAGAACTATGGGTGAGGAACTTACCATATGAAAGTCTGGGTAAAGATAATCAGTACCAATGTATTCAAAATAATGGGCAAATCCCTCTTTTAACCACACGTCTTCCCACCAAATAGGGGTGACGAGGTCACCGAACCACTGAGAAAACAAAAGAGAAAGAAAGGGGATCAGAGCAACCTCAAAAAAATGTTGAACGTGTGTAACAAGTTTTTTTTAAATTGAAAGGTTAAAAAGTATAACGAAAATATTAAGCATTTTATTTATCTGTTTTGCTTCACACACCCATCACTCTGGTCCTCGGCAGACTCCGCTGGCCTCCCTGGTTGCCAAGGACTGATTTCAAGGTCCTCACATGCTTTCCTATAAATCCTCTCACTCCCCAGCATCTCTGTTTTTCTCCTACCCTACTCCTCAGCTCACTCCCTTCGCTTGGCCACTCCCTCAGGCTTGCCTTATGTCCCCTCCCGCTCCATACCATAATCAGATTCTATGTCCCTAACCCCTGGAGCTTTCCTCTCTCTACCCGTTCATCTCATCCCCTCTCTATCTGTCTTTCAATCCCATTTTAAAGCCCACTACTTCAATAGTGCCTATTGTCACCTCTTCCTTCTTCCACTCTCTCCTTGCTCAGCGTCCAACCCCGTCTTTGCAAAATCCTCTGCAAATTTACGTGAAATGTGCTGTATAAATGTAAGTTAATATTATTCAAATTTTCATACCTGGTGGCATATTTCATGCACGACAACCATGGTCACGTCAAGCAAATAGGGAATGGATGAGATTCCAGGATCGAGCAAAATCTTCTGCTCTACAAACACACTTAGTCCCCAGTTTTCCATAGCAGCGTAAGGATATTTAGGAACAGCTAACAGATCTATCACAAGAGAACAAAGGTTATTTTTCTTGCTGCAAGTTATTGTGAGAATATTTCCAGAACCTCCTTCCTTATCATAGAATCATAGAATCGTACAGCACAAAAAGCCATTCGGCCCATCGAGTTTGTGCCGGTTCTTTGAATAGAGCAATGTAATGTCAATCCCACTCCCCAGCCCTTTCCCCATAACCCTGCAAACCTGTCCTCCTCAAATACCCATCCACCGCGTTTTTAAAAATAGTTATCAAATCGGCCTTCACCACACTTTCAAGCAGACACACTTATGCTGCTAGGAAATGCATAAACAGATATTAACGGTTAATTGTGCATTAATCTACTCTGAATTAATTGCCCACTCACTGCAGCAAAACAATTTGTTATTGTTGCTGTCTCTTTAAGGCATTTTCTCTCTTTTTCCCTTAGTTGGGTTTTCCTGCATTGAATTCCCTCTCTGTCCCATCAGAGCCAACCCACTCCCACACTGATGCCAATACTGTAAAGCCAGCCACACGGAAGTGCACAGAAGGGGGGCATGAGATTACTCTCACTCCCACCTTCACTTGGCAAATACACCAACATACTACAATAAAATCTTAGCACACATCAATGCTGACGTCAATGATCAATGAATGCCTGTTCAAACTGTCCTTTTCATGAAAATTACCTTATAAAATATCACAAAGTACTGCATAAAAGTCCGGAAAGCTGTTGAAAAAGGAGATGAACACTTTCTTGTCCAGAGACTTACCAAATGCATTCTGCATTTATCCTAAATCCCATTTAATGAAAAAAGCTTGTTCCCCCCCTCCCCGAACATCTAGTATGTTAGTCTGGCACAGTTGGTAGCACTCTCGCTTCTGAGTCACAAGGTTTGGGTTCAAGCACTTTGAACTCACAGTCAATGGTGCTGATCTTCAGATGAGACATAAAACCATGGTCCTATCTGACTGTTCAGGTGGACGTTAGAAATCCCACAGCATTACTTAAAAAGGGAAAATTATTTTTCCTGATGTCGTGGTTCCAGATAAAATTGATCATTCACTTCATGGCTATTTTGGAGCATTGCTTTGCACAAATTGGCTGTATTGATCGCCTACAAGTGCACAGTCACTATCCTTTTCATTAAATCCTGCGAAGGGTTTTGAGACGTTTCAATGACGTCATACGATATTATATCATATCATGACTAAGAAGTAAAGACATTTTCTTTCTTGATAAAATACAAAACTTTAGAAAGTGAGATAGAGGTGACCAGGAAGATAGAAAATCTGCTTTTTTTCTTGGCGTTTTCTGCAGTTGTATGTTCTATCGGAAGCTCCCATTCCAATAATGCACCAAAGGGAATGGTTGTATACAGCTGAATTCAGCTGTTTCTTAGTGGAATTACAAATATTTCCCCATATGAAATGCAGTCACACCACTTCACTGTGAAATGATTTGAGACAACAACAGCAACAACAACAAGCATGTATATAGTGCTCACAATATCTGATCCAGAGGTGCATATGATACCATCTAAGCCATGCAGACTAACTCCAACAAAAACATTCCCCTTTAAAGTACTTAGGCATGAAAAATATTTTAATGATGTCATGAAATCCAGCAGAGTTCATTGGCAGATCAATGCTTTTCACCCTGATATTTGTCAAACCACTCGACCACAGTCACCAAACAGAATATCATTAGTACAATGCTCGACCCAGAGATGGAAAACAAAGGTCAGTGTAAAATCTGTAGCTGCTATGCCTGACCTTCAGTGTCTACACAAATGATGTCCATTAAATGACAGTCTGTTCATGCATTTCATTAAGCTGCCTATCCACAGCCATCCTTATTCCCTAACTGGAACAACAAGCCATTTATGTCCCTAAAGAAGCATTTCCCGGCAAAAAATAAATCTTTCTCATTGCTGAACAAGTGGAAAGAAATGATCTGCGGTGCTTTTGACAAGTAAAGTTCAACAAGAGGAATCTTGTTTTGCCTCAGAGGCAAAGTGGAAAACTTCAGATATATTTGGAAACAAATTGATTTTCCATGAAGTACCAGCAGAATTAATGATTTGAAATATCACAGTTAGCTAGGCCATCTTGGTTAATAATAACAATAATATTAATAAACTTACTGCAGTCTGATAGTATTGGGAGCGCTTTAAACATTTTTTTTCACTCTAAATTGCTTTTGAGTTCTTTGGTCAGTATAATAAATAGTTTTGAAATTCTAGCTTCCATCCATCTAGTGATAGCTCAAACCCTCATTTGTTGGATATCAAATGACCAACTAGGTACTATCCTTCTTGGGGGTGGAGGTAAACAGGGTTTCCTTGGAGCTGAACTTGCTCCATAGGTGACATGCAACAGAATGTCAGAATCAAGTCATACCTCTGTTGCAGTCTCAGTAGTCCAGTTCCTGAGCCAGGTGAGTCTGCAGTACTCCAGGTTACTGCTGAGGACAGCCCAGCCAACTTGGCTCAATGGCAGAAGTTGGAAGGGTAGACCAGAAAAGTGCAGAAACAGAAATGACAAATGTGGTCCGTTCCAGTCCCAAAGTTAAAAAAAAATCCTATGTTGCTTTATCTGATACACTTCTTGGTCAAATAACTACCTAATTCCCTCCTGAATTCCCTGACTCAATCTGCCTCCATCGCCTCCCTGGGTAATCTATTCCACATTTTCAGCATTCTCTGCGTAATTAAATCTGAGCTGTCTGGTCAATTTCCCTCTTCTGAGCTTGAGTCTATGTCACCTGGTTTCAGAATTTTTGATATGTTTAAAAAAGAAAGAGAAAGAAGGAAGGGGCGGAAAGAGACAAAAAAAAGAGGAAGAAAGGCAGATAGACGAAATAGGGGAGACAAAGAAAATATAATATTTAGGAGTGCTGCAGTCATTGTCTCATTATGAGGAGAATTTGACTGTTTTCTGGGGACTTGTGGTACTGAGCTTTGTGTGGGGGAGAGTATGTGGTGTGCGATTGCTTATTAAGGATAGCGGGTGTGGAGATAACAATATTACTTGGCTCATCACCGAGTGACAGTGCCCCCAGCATCAACTAGCAAATGCAGCTCAGTTTCAGAATAAACCCGTGTTCTGCACATCAGCCACTGCCTTTCACTCAACATGTACTTTATCATCCCTGCTTCTGGGCCCAGGTCTGACAACCAGATGCTGATGAGTGTGAAATGTGGGTCAGTCCCACACTATTGACCAGTGGTGGCCAACCCAAGGCCTACTGACCATTTGCACGAGTCTAGGTGAGCCTGTTTGAAATCAATATTTTATTTCCAGGTTTTTCTTGACTGAATATTTCTTGATTCATGGCATAAGTCAAGATATATTCAACCAAGAACATTTATTTTATTGGCTGAGGAAAAAGGTTGGCCATCACTCCTATAGACTCAGTTCTACCAGGAACTAAATGACGATGACTAGAACAGTACAAACTGCTTGACTTGCTTCAGACCCTCAGACATGAAGCCATCATCCCTTTTGTCCTGATAAATTCAGAATTTAGCAGCAGATGTAATACGGCAGCATTTCAGAACCAGGTTCTACCTCTCTGGTCGGCAGATACAGCATCACTGGACCCTCAGTGCTTGGCACACTTGGTGGGTACATCAGTCACTTGATTTAAAGCACAGGTTGACAGTCCAGTTCACTTGTCACACATATGACGAGTCTTTGGTCAGACCACAGGAGAGGATGCTTGAAGCAATGCACTCTACCACACTGGTGAAACTAACACTGGCTATTTTATACTACAGTAAAGTGCAACTCCAGTCAGCTGAGTATCATAGGAGTTGTGCTTTACTGTGGTATGAAACAGTCAGCTGAGCAACAGCAGTGCTGAGTGCCACCTCAGTGCAGGGCTCCGCAGGATGTTCCAGACAAGAGGGCAGAGAAAGGAAAATCGTTACGGGCTCTAATTTTTGCCATTTTCGTCACACGCTTCCAGACCAGAGATCAAATTAACTGCATTTCACAGGATATACTGTAAAGGTAGGACCTGTCTATTTGAATGACCAATTTTAAAAGGCAAACCAGGCCTCGGTTTAATATTTCATACGAAGGACGGCACCTCCAAACATCCCAGTACTGAAATTAGAATGTCCTTCTAATGTTGTCCAACAGAAATTGCTGACTAACCGATAGGTGGGGCTACGTTGATGCTATTTTAGCCGCATTAACTAATTTGAGTGGAAAACACCTCAAGTACATTTACACTATGCAGGTATATGTTTACGTATAGATTTAATTAACAAGCATCGACTTAGCAAACATCTACCAATATTCAGGGCAAAACTTTGCAGTGAAATAAGGTTTTTCCCTTCAGGCTGTGATGTATAACAATCTTCAATATAGTGCTCTAATATGGCAATTCTTTACTTCAATAGGGCTTATAAAACACGTTCAAAAAACTCTAGTTGATCAGAAACCACCAACATAACTACACATTTGTAAGAATGAAGGTATTCTTGTTTAGAAATTTGCTCACCAGTTACAGTGATATCTGATTCCTTCCCCCCCTGCCCACCTTTCCCCCCTGCCCTTCACCCTCCCCAATCCCGATCCCCAGCTCGGATCCAAAACGTTGACTGTCCAGCGCCTTGGGACGTCCTCCCAATGTGAAAGGCACTATACAAATGTAATTTTGTTGTTGTTGTTGATACAATAAGGTCAAACTGCACCGTCAGCATTTATAACAAACACATTGTAGCATTTTACAGCCAGTGATAAATAAAATTAACTCCCACTGGAATTTGCAATCCTGACTTCAATGAACAGCAATATGAATGTGTTTCATTGAACCAGAACTAATTGTCTGCATGAATAGCATCACCCTGGATAGCATCACCCTGAATAGCATCAATGTAAGTGCTTAAAAGGACCAGCATTCACAGCATGCTTAAACTGGACAGCTTGTGCTCTATAAATGTCATGAGTCAACTCACTTCATGACCTTAAAAATTAACCTAATGTTAGCATGCATAGCTTCTGGGGACCTTA